CCACTTGTTAATGAAGAGGGGAGACGTGCAGGCAAGAAACCACTGCACAAAAGCCAGTAAGTAGGGATGGAAGCAGGGAAAGAGCAAGATATGCTTTGGAGAGATCTACTTTATAAATTTTACCAAATAATTGCTTTTAAGATGATAAAATGGCAGGAAAAATTTAGAGTAATAATTTGGTAATATTTTGAAATATGACAGGTAATAACTTAATATTATTATGAAGTAATAATTTGGAATTATGAATATGTTATAATTATTGCATCAATATTTTTATCTGTTATTTATTATAATTATTAGAAACGTTTATTTCTAGTAATTCTAGTGGCCACTTGTAAACTATTGAAAAGGTGCCATGGCAAGAACCTTATACAACCACAGTTAGTCCTTATTGCAATCACATGAGTTAAACATTATAAACCATAGTTTACAGATAAACAGCAATAGCAGAAAGAAGGTCTGGGGTGTTCAGGAAACCCCTACATCTGTGCAGAGCGTAGGTGCATGCCCAGTGTGCACCGGTCTGCGGGGTTCCAAGAACCCTGGCTGACACGTCCTGACCAGACAGCTGGTTGCAGCCACGGTGAACGTACAGGGCTGTGCATGGCCGTTTCCTCCAGCTTCTTCAGAGGTTCCCAGAAGCCAAGCCACATGCTGTGGGATTGAGCTCACCCTGACAACAGTCAAAGCTGCAGGCTCATTCTGCACTTCTGTTGTAAAATGGCCTACATTACATATTCTTCAAAATATTCACTCTAAATTTCCACATAAACCTAATAGATTTCAAAGCCTGTAAGGCTCTACCAACCAGCTCCCCTTGTTGCTCCAGGATCCTAGTGCACAAATTAACCCTAGGAATAAAGTGGCATAAGCTTCCCGTGACCCTTCTTTGTGTAAAAGAGAGCAAGATTCACAGTCTTAGGCAACATAATAGAGTCAATAAAGGGGCTTTCTGTAACTTCACATCCTGGTAACCAAATCAGTCTTATCTTGTTGAATACTAATCTAAAACCCAACTCCTGCAAAAGTTCCTAATTAGTCAAAATTATTGGCAGTTTCATTAAAGGGCATTTTCTTTGTTGTCATAATATTTATATGGGCAAATCACTCATGGGTTTTTATCCACCAGGATGGCTAGTCCATGGCAGGATTGATGGATGCAAGCGCTTCTCTTGTGAAAAGAATTTTTACGCAATTATTTGTAAAATTCAAGCAATAGTAAGATCTTGCAATTCTAGATTAAAGATAATTAATTTAAAGTCAACCACTGATAAAAATTGTCAGAGAAATATAAACATACACTTCAGTAATGAATTATTCTTTCACTTTCATAGATAGTCCACCATGTGACTTTGTAGATGCAAGAAATAGTGTGCATATTAGATTTGAGACATTAAATATATTGTTTTTCCTTATGCGATAATTCCTTGATGTCATATATAATACGTAAAATAATGCATCATTTGGATGGACATTCCTTTTATTGGATCAATAATATCAATTTAGAAAAACAAGAGACAAAAGCATCCTTTGCACAACTCAGGTACTGTTTTACACCTCCTTTCACAGTGATCTTTACGTTCCCTGTGGTCGATTAAAAGTTACCACCACAGGACACCCAGTGGGGTGCTCCCTGGGATCTCCAGCTGCACAGCTCTGTTCAGCTAGCGACGTGCTGGTCACTGTCGGAAAGTGAGTTGAAATGTGTCCTGGCAAATTATCAAACAAATGTCCCCAACAACTAAAGCGGTCCTCTGTTCCAAATTAGACTGTTCACTCCTTTTATACTGAGGTCCTGATCAAGCCCTGTGCCTCTGGAAAATCACACATGCTCTCCTTGAAATGCCCTGAAATAAAACTTCTATAAAGAGAAGGTCATAGACACTGGAGAGGAAAAGGTTAGAATTAGAAAGAATCCAAATCCTCAGAAAGAGACTTGATGAACGCTTGAGCTGTGAAGGTGGGTGGCCAGTGCTGTTCCTCCCAGCTGTTATGGTTTGGGGTGAGTGTATGTTTTGCATGCATTTATTTAGAACAAGAACAAAGGGCACTCATGTTCTTCCTCTTGTCTTGACCTAAGTTTACAACTGAAAGAGCTGCACAGCCCTCTAAATTTGGCGAGGTACTCCTTTTTGAAAATATTTGTTGGCAGATGGTTTTGCTTCTCGACAAACTTCCCTTCCTCTGGCTTATTTTTCTTGTTAATGGAGAGCATTGTGTGGACCAGACGGTTCAGTCACAGAAGGGGGCCTTGAAATGATGGCTTAGTTGCTTTCACAAAGAAAAAATTCAAAATCAGTGCAATAATTTATAATGCTTATGATAAAATGTCCTGGAATATAGACCTGTTTGCATTCTGATTTGGTGCAATCCTGGACTTTTTTCCCCCCTCAGGTAAAGAAAGAAAGAAAAAAAAAAAAAAACAGAGAAAAAAATGAGAGGAAGAAAGAGATAGAGCTGGATTCATGTATTTCTTGACTTTTCTTTGTAATAGAAATAAAAATGAAATTTAAGCATATTTCTGACTGTAGTCTTTCTCATAAGAATTCTGGAAGATGATCACAACACTTACTTCTTCCTAAAATTTAAAATTTACTTACAAATAGGTACAGTAACAAAGAACAACAAGAAATAACAAGAGAAAAAGTATATATGTATATATTTTTTTAAAGATTGACACCTGAGCTAACAATTATTGCCAATCTTCCCCCCCCCCCCCCCCGCTTTTTTCTCCCCAAATCCCCCCAGTACATAGTTGTGTATTTTAGTTGTGGGTCCTTCTAGTTGTGGCATGTGGGATGCCACCTTAACATGGCCTAATGAGTGGTGCCATGTCCGAGCCCAGCACCACCAAAGCAGAGCACGGGAACTTAGCCACTCGGCCACGGGGCCAGCCCGAGAAAAAGTATATTGAAACTAGCTTTCTAATACGGTATTCAACAGTTAATTTTGAACATATGTTTCCTTAGAACTATTTGGTGACGTCTTTACACAAACAGTGACAATGTCAGATTCTTTAGCGGGAAAAATATATTTTAAAAGTGGCCATTTCAAACCTCTCTTCTTTTATTTCTCTTTATCACTGGTTAATACTCCTGTGTCTTCTAACTAGAAATAATTTTTCATCCACAGCTTGTTATTTGATTCTATTAGTATTCAGATATTTTTCAAGTGATTTCACTTCAGGATTTTATAATTAATTTTTATTTTAGCATAGTTTTAGATTCACAGAATGATGACTTGTATAGACTCCACGCCGAGTTTCCCCACTATTAACATATTACATTACTATGCACACTTGTCACAATTAGGGAACCTATACTGATACCATATTATTAGCTAGAGTTCATACTTTATTCAGATTTCTTCAGTTTTTCTCTAAAGAGATCTGTCTCTTTTACCCATTTATCTATTTAACCATTTATTTATACCAATATGCTCTCCACTCATAGATATTAATTTTATATTTTGTGTTGTAATCCAATACTACTTTATTTTTTACTCAATTCTTTCAGCTTTGGCCATTAGAGCTCTTTGAGTTGGCTCCTGCGTCCCTTTGGAATCTCCATCATTGGGTGTTTTCATCTCGTTCGTCTTTGAGCACTTTCTCACTTTCTGACACCATCAGATGATTCGGGTCATCCTGCATGTTTTGGACTTGTGTGCCAATTGTCTAGCAGGTGGTTAGCTCAAGTATGAAATATGAGAATTAGTTCAAAGTTAATACATTTAGTCAGATTACAGGTAGATAAGAACCTTGCAAAGCATAATATACCCCATTGAAGAAAGCTTTAAAATACATAGATTAAAATGTATTAGAAATGAAAAATAACATGTATTACTGTTACGGGTGGAATTTTTTCCCCAAAAAGGATATGCTGAGGTTCTAACCCCCAGTGCTGGTGACTGCGACCTGATTGGAAATACGGTCTTTGCAGCTGTAATCCAGTTAAGATGAGGTCCCCCTGAACTAGGGCGGCCTCTCATGCCGGCTGCTGTCCTTATAAGAGGAGAAGAGACGCAGACTCAAGTCCATCAGAAGAGGAAGGCCCTGAAGACAGGCAGAGATTCGGGTCAGGCTGCCACAAACCAGGGACTCCACAGGCTGGGGGGGCAGGAAGCTCCACTCCAGAGACGGGCAGTGAGCATGCTCGCCACTATCCTGACTTCCAGCTTCTGGCCTCCAGAACTGAGGGAGAATAAATGTCTGTTCCTCTAAGCCGTCCAGCTTATGGTACATTGTTACAGAAGCGCTAAGAAACGAGTAGAATTATTAAATATCAAATTTGATGCAAAATTCAAAATACTACATCTAGTCCTTGATAGCTCAAATATATGAGAAATACATGACCATAAAATATCTTATTAGAAAATATCTATTTAGTTTATACTCAGTGCTAGGCTCTTCTAGCATGGATTGTGGCATAGAATTTCTGTGATACGAAACAGTTAATGTCTCCACTTTGTGTGCTTACAGAGACCCAAGGCAGTTAGTTCCGTGGCTGCACTGCTCCCGAGTGTCAGGTCAGGATCTGAAATTCGAATCTAGGCTGTCTGACTCCACAGTCAGTAAAGCTCCAAGTCTCCCTGTCTCTCAAACACACTCCTCTGTCCACCCTCGGATTCGTCTCATGGTCTCTGTCTGGACACTTCTTTATTCCCCACCTCTGTCTCAGGCCCTTCATCCATCTTTCTCCTTTCTCCCTCTCTCTGCCCTCCTCTCTTCCTCTCTTTCTTTTGTTACTATTCACTATCTTTTTCTCTAAAATGCTAATGTGCTTCGAAGGGAGCATGTCTCTGGTCTTTAAGTGTCCATGGAGCTTTCACGGAAACTGGTCACATGGGGACATGAAACCCTCAATGACATTCCTCACAGAAGAAGAAGTAGGTTCCATTCTTTGACCCCAATGAAAGAACATTTTATTATAAATAACTTTCTATACTTTAAAGTTTTAAAGAAATTTTCTGTTTTTGTTTGTATGTTTGTTTTTACAAAACAGTCAAAAGAGCTCCTGGAAAGAGGAAGAAATCAAACCTAAAACTTCAGAAAATCGCCAAATGCTAGGCTTCAAATCCTGTGAGAAAGGCCCGGCGGCGTGGTTAGAGACGCTCATCTCTGAATGTCCTAAGAACAGGTTAACCACAGTTCAGCTCAACGACCTGCGGGGGAGAAGCAACAGCTTTTCAGTGAAACGGATCGGGTGGACGCCCCACGCTCGGAGCGGGACTCAGCGGGGCTTTACCGGGCTCGCGCGGACAGGCAGTCACCGCCCAGGCCCCAGACGGCGCGGGCCCCGAACCCGCGGGAGCAGGCGGGAGGCCGCGGATGCGCGGGGGGAGGAGGCGTCCCGGGCGGGCGGCGGGCCTGAGGGTCGAGGCCGGGAACGGTCCCCGCGCGGACGGACGGCCCCCCGCGTCCGGCAGGTCCGAGCACGGCCCGTGGGCAGAGCGGAGGGCAGAGCTGTTGGGGCTCCCGCCTCACCCCACCGCTCCCGGGAAACTGCTCCCCCTCCCGCGGCGTCCTCCCGTAAGGGACACTCGGCTGCGAGGGGCGCCCCCGCCGTCCCCCGGGGCCCCACGCCCGCCTCCTAACGGCGGAACGAACGCCGGGCGTTCTGGGTTCCAAGGCGCGCTCAGCCGGCCGCCGGCTGGAATTTCGGTTTGGAGAGAGCTGCAGAATTTTACGTTTCTATCTGCTGTCCACTTCCAAAATGCGATTGATGTTTTCTTGATTCATTTTTACTTTTCTTGTAGTTTAAACTCCTTTCTTCCTTTACTAAAATTTTAATGCATTTTCAAGAGAAGTGGATATAAAAATGTATGTCCACACGGGCATCTTTAAAAATCTAAGAGCGTGTTTTAAGAATATAATATTCCAGCCCTGCGGTTGGCATAGCTGTGAAGTTCCTGTCTCCTTCCATGGCCCCGGTTCAGTTCGGATCCAGGGCCGGACCTACACACCACTCATCAAGCCACGCTGTAGGGGGGGGGTCCCACATATAAAATAGAGGAAGACGGGCAGGATGTTAGCTCAGGGCCAGCCTTCCTCAGGAAAAAAAATTATATAATAAACATATAATTTTGCCTCCATCACTTGATGGGCATTTAATTTAATTAATCTTTAATTTCTTTAATCACATTAAAGAAAGAGCCTGTCTCTATTGTGAATTACATAAAGTTTCAGTCACTTTGTCAGAGGTGAAACTGTTAATATATTAGTCAGGAATGATGGGCTCTGTGAGGAAGGAGTTAAAATGTAAGTGATGCAGTACCGTGTCATAAGAAATAATTGTGTTAATAAAAATGTGGTGTTTTTTTTTTTTAATGAGCAGGTGCAAAATCAGAAAAACACCATGAAGAGGCCTAGGACAGTGACCCCAGAGGAGGGAGGCACGGCCACCACACACTCACCTGAGTGGCTGGGAGCCAGAGAGAGATGCACCCATGGGCAGGTGCCTCTACTGGGGTCAGGGTGCAGTGCGCAGCAGAAGGCGTGTGGGGGCTCTCTCGGTGTGTTTGAGCATCACTTGATGACAGACGGGGGAGGACCAGAAGGGGAGATCCTGGCTGGACCAGCCTTGTCACCCTGTGCCCCTGGCCACCCGGGCAGGTGCTCACAGCCTGTTTGTGGGGATGCAGAGGCAGCAGGAAAATATGAAGTTTTAGCAATCTACGATGTAAACCATCCTATGATGCTCCACTTGGGTAACAACACCAATTGGGATGGATAAAAGCTGTTACCTGGGCTGTGGAGATGTCAGAGCTGAGCCAGATGGCTTGACTTAGCCACGAAAGGCAAAGTGGCAAAGGTGACAACAAGGAGAGTCCTCATAGGCACTTGATGGGGGTGTCCACCCAGCCTCAGCCAGACACTCCGCTTTGTAGGAGAAGGGAAAAGAACAGTCAGACACCTCCCATCTTAAGGGAATCTGTTGGGAGATTTTGGCTATGTTGTGAAAGGTCTTACGTCTCTGTCTAGTCCTTGTGGGCTGGCCTGTACCTGTCCAGAGTGACAATGTGCACACAGCAGGAGGTGGCCTGGATGGACAAACCCCGCCCTCCCTGGCTAGTGAGCCATCACGAGCCTGACTGTCACCCACTGCCCTTTGGGCTCCAGACTCGTGGGCTTGCTGTGTAAAGACGACATTTCATGCAGCCTTTGAATGTGATCTGAAAGGGCTGTGGGAAGTTGCCGGTTGGCAGTCATGACTTGACCTTGTTTGATAGAGGCTGCTGTACTGACACCAGGTCTGGCAGTTCCTGCGACTGTGGCAAGTTCCATTGAGATGGGAGTATATATCATCTGTTTTGGCCAGTGTCCTTGGATAGATGGAAATGGGGACATATCTGTGGATAAAGAACTAAGGGAATCGTCAGGGCATATGGTCTTATTAGGAAAAACATGCTGGAGTGTCAGCAAGGAAAAATCTATGAGGCGCTGTGTCTGTGTGTTTGGGCCACATGAAATGCAAAGGGGTCATTATTTAGAGTGTAATGTGCCCGTGAGAAGGTGATGTGTTTAACCAATGGGAAGTGGTTGTGGTGCTCATGGATGGAGATGCAAGGGGGCAGTTTGTGGGGGAAAGCTGGAGCGGGTAGGAGGGAAAGGCATTGGGGCATGGTGGGCCTCTCTCCAGAGGACCAAGGGGGTGGCAGATCTGAGACAGCTGCCTCCTGGGGAAACAATAATCTTCAGTGTCAGTAACTGACCATGCTTCTCTTTAATATAGGGGTGGAAGTTTCAGCTGAGAGCAAGGAGTATCCAGGCTCATGGGCTAAGCACACAGTGAGCTCAGGGAGAAAAGCAGACATGTCCTGTGTCCAGTTGGTGCCTCAGGAGGGGTCGACCATGGGTGTTGCTGGGGCGGCGGCTCCCGTGTTAGGGGTGAAGGAATCCCCAATGCTGGGGTCTTGGGTTGGGATAATGTCATCTCCAGAGGTGAGATTTTGGGCCAGAGTGATGTCATCTGGGATGTGGGACTGGGGTATCTTTTTCAAGGGGTGCCCACTAGAGTTTTATAAAATTTACAAAATTAGCTTAAGGCTTGGTGCAAGATAGAGAATTTTAGAGGTTTATTAGTTGGTCTGGAATTTGAAAAGCTGTTGTTGGAGGCCATCTGGGTCCCAGATAAATTGGCTATTTGGGATCTCCTGGGGACAGGAGATCTACTGAATGCCTTTCCAGGAGCCCAGCACATGTATTTCAAGTGTCTTTAGCTCTGACAGGATTGGGAGTGTCCTGAGGCTCCTTGTCGGAGGCACATCAAAGCCAGGCCTTGTGTTGCATCCTGAGTGTGAGAAGAGCCAGGTGTGATTTTGGTTTATAGTTGGAGTATCTGTGAGGCAAGAGATTCCAGAATTTTTTACCCTGAAGGGGACAATTTTCAGACAATAGCCCAGTGGTTTATAATAAATGTGAATATGTTGGCTGGAGTACCCAGTGCTAAGGTGGCCACCTCAAGTCTGGCCAAGTACGTTGTTTTTTGGGTCTCATCCTTTATCAGGGACATGCTGGCTGAGGGATGGAAAGCAGCAGCTTCCACTGAGCCCCTCATGTATGACGCTAGCAGGGATGTTCACCTGGTCCAGGAACTCCCACTGCGCTTCACCCATTAATCCCAAGGGCTCCCCAGGAGCCAGAGAGTCAGGGGGAGGGTGCCCTCCTCCAACACCCTGGAATCTGGCAAGGGACGGAGGATGGGGAAGCCACTCCTCCTGCAGAAGGAATACTGCAGATGGCCCAGGTCTGAGTCCCCCGTCCTAGGGAGCCCTCTGTAGCCAAGCTGAGCTTGTGGGGTGCTGTTTCAGTGACGCAAAGCATAATAGGAGGCTGGGTATGGAGGGTCATGGGCTCAGAGTCTGTGGGAGCCTCGGTTTCCAGAAGAGCCCAGCAGGAGCCAGTCACTTGCTGGTGTATCGCTCAAGCACGAGAGGGGCAGTTTTTGCATCAGAAGCCTGGGGAACTTGCGGCCATCGTAAATAGTCAGACTCCAGGAGGCATGAGAAGAGGTGCCGAAGCCTCTGCAGGGAAGGAGTCTCCTAGGGCTCTAGTAGGAGCACCTGTTGATTTTAATCTGTAAGAAAAATTTGTAAATGAGGGATGTGTTGGCACCAGAACCCAAAAAGGACTAAATGACATTGGACTTATGAGTCCTTAATGAGTGTGTCAAATGACTCTCCTTGGAGAAGGAGCTTATTATCAGTGTGGTGTCACACCTGTGCTCCTGGAGGAAGGCAGATGCAGTTAAATTCTTGTCCACAGACTGTATGTTGCAAGGGGCTGACGTACCTCCACGGGTCTCCTGGAAAAGGAGGAGGAGCGCTGTGTCCCTTGGAGGCGGAGGCAAACTGCAGGTGAGGGGCTGTTGAAAGAGGCCCTGGACGGAACAGTCAGCCGGTCTATAAGAGCCAAATGCTTACCAGTCGTTGGTTGAGGGAATCAGCAATTTTAATAACATTGAGTGTTGGGTATGGGGATGGAACCACAGCCTTGAGGTTGCACCAATCCATGATGCACTATTTATTTATTTATTTTCAGATTTAAGAGCAGACAAAATTAGGCTGTCAAATGGAGAAGGCTTGGGGATACTCATCCTCTTATTTATTAGGTTTTATATAAGGTTTTATCCTTGAAGTCCTGTTTTAACTCACATTGGGTCATATTAACTATTTTAATTGGGGGTTCATGAGGTCCTATTTTTATTAAGCCAATTTGTAAGTGTTAAAGCCTTACTTTAATTTTAGTTAGTTATTTATTGTTAATTAGTCCAAGCTCTGGCCCCGGAGGGAAATGACAGCCCATGTGTTCCGGGCCTCTGTGTCTTGGGGAGACATAGGGTGGCTCCTCCTCTTTCCAGAGTCAAAGCTGGGAAGCAGGTCCAGGGGTACCCTACGGGGTTGGGGTCTGGCCGCTCTGGAAGGGGCGACACGAAGCAGCTCTCCGGATGGTAGAGCCCCACTGGGACAGCCAATTAGGAGCCGTGAGCAGGCCAGTGCCCTGCAGTGGGGTTTCTATCCCTGACATAGATCACCCCTCCTCCTCTCCTACTGTGATGTAAAGAATAATTGTGTTACTTAAAAATGGGGTTTTCATATCAGTCAGACGTGGACACAGAATAACACCGTGGACTGGCATGTGAAAATGAAAGAAACTTATTCTACTCCCAGGTCCTACAAGAGGGGGTGCAGCACACCATGCGGGGGCATGTGGGAGGAGCCCCCAGCTGGTCTGTGGGGATGTTGAGGCATCAGGAAAACACAAAGTACTAAAAGTTTGCAATATAAACAGGAGCTCAAATGCAGAAGGTTACGCCTTTGATCTGACTAGGAATAAAATGATCTGATTCTGACAAAACACAGAGACAATATAAGGGGAGAAGAGGGGGTGAAACCCTGAGAAAACTGGGTGAGCAGAGCTCTGATAAAGGGTCTTCAGGAACCAAAGGATTTAAAACAGTAGACGGATCATTATAAAGAAGATGAACCTCAACTTCAGTCTTGTGTGGAATCGGCAGAGTCTGTGGATGGCAGGTTTCTTCGAACCACCTTTGGACAAGACAGCATAAATTCCCGCTCAAACGTGGGTATGTTTGAACTGACAGGTTTTTCTCCTTAATTTTTCAAATTGCATTATTCTCTAGGGATTTAGCTGTCCTGTAGATTGAACTGATCTGTAGAAGGGTCTGTGGAAATCTACTTGCTTAAGCGAGTATTCCCTGACATACGTTGTACTAGTGTCCATAGATTAAACTTGAGATAATATGAAAGGTGAAAACCATGTGACTACACATGCAAGTAGACAAGTACTTTTAATATTTTCAGAAAAATGATTAAAGCCTGCATA